TCTCTCTCTCTCTCTCTCTCTCTCTCTCTCTCTCTCTCTCTCTCTCTCTCTCTGTGTGTGTGTGTGTGTGTGTGTGTGTGTGTGTGTGTGTTCTGGATTTGTACCTACATCTCTATCTGTCCCCCATTTGTATGAGTCAGTGAATTTTCATACGCAGTTCAATACGAAGCAGTTAAGCTGCTTCTTTCATTAGCTGCCACAACGAGGGTGGGAATTTGACCGACGCGCAGTCAAATGGGAGGAGTGCAAGAGAAGGGGAGAATTGTTTCCCACCCCGGTTGATTGGCTTTCTCATCTCCCGCCAAGACGCGGTACAGTGCCGTTAGGTTTCCTCAACAATCGCTGGGCTATCGACGAGACAGGCACGGATTGCGAAGACCTCGAAGCGAGAGGAAACGAATTGGCGGGAACAGATTCCCAGGACTGATTGATTGATTCATTGCCTCCCTCAGGTTTCAACAACCCGCGATGATTGATTGATATTGACTGATTGATTGATCGACTTCTTACAAGTCCAGCAACCCACGATGATGCCAGCACAGGCGCAGGCTGAAAACCTTCAAGGCGTCCTTCTGTCGTGTACTACCCCCGTGCTGCTTATACACACCGATTGGCGGGAGACTTGCCTTCCCAATTGGCGGGAGACTTGCCGTCCCAATTGGCGGGAAACTTGCCTTCCCAATTGGCGGGAAACTTCCACCGCTGTCCCCAACCACCGCAGTAGATAGCACCGGCGCCCTCTCTCTGGGCAATTGCGTTGAACGGCCAGCCTCAAGCACTTGGAAGTCGCGCGCCAAACCGCCTTAGCGCGTATATTCGCACTGTAGGACTTTTTCGACTGATCTCTGGACGCCTTGGCGCGAGTTTACCCTTCGGCATCAATGGCATTCGATGCCACATCCTCACTGCATGATGCCCCCCAGGCTGGAAATCGGCGCAGCTGCCTCACACTTTCACCCCGTGCGTGCGTGCCTTTTGGGAATTGGCGCCAACAGCCGCTTCACCGTGGAGATTGCCGCCAAACAGTGCATTTCAATGGCGGCCACGTATATCGTTGTGACACAGTAAAAAAAAAGTGAACAGTAAAAAAAGTGAAGTGCTCTTTCGGCCATGGATATCGTTGTGAGGCGGTAAAAACAGCGAAGTGCTCTCTCTTTTCTTTTTATCTTTTTATTATTCCTTCGTCTCTTTCTCTCGATTTTTGCGTGTCATTCCGGGGCAAGGTCCCACTTGCACGGATTAAGAGATTCTGGCCGTTGATCTTTGTTATCTACGGTCAATATCGCTTAATTCGTGTAAGTGGGACCTAGCCCCAGGGCAGAGGTCGTGCTCTTCCCGGCGCCCACGCCTTCGCCTCTTGCGTGTGTCGTGGCATGAGAACCTGTTGGCATGCCTCAGGCCATACTGATGAACTAGCACCTTTTCAACTCACCTCTGGCTTTAATTGCGGTCAGATCCATCCACGGTCGGCCGTGATTGCGCCCAGATACGTCCCAGAGAAAGCTAGCATGAGTACGATCTCTAGATCCTGAGCGCACGGCACAGATATAAACATTTACCACCCTGGTATTGATAGCCCGAAATTCCTGCGGGAAGGTGGTCCCTGCGATTTCCCATCCCCTACCACGGGTAGCACCTAACCGCGGATATCTACAATAGCCGTCTTGCAAGTGCCCCATAGCCGTTTGGCAAGTGCCCCATGTGGGCCCCCAACGTGTTCCAAAAATAGAGTTGTGCAATACTGTGACACTCGGTGCCCAACTGAAGCCAAAGCCCGTAGGCTGTACGGCGGCCTGGCGGGCAAATGGATGCTCATGAGGCTGGAGGAGGGTAACCCAAACACTATTCAACTCAAACGATTGTAAGCTCGGTTATAGCAGCAAGAAACGTTAGTACCAGGCCACAATGTTCGCAGCCCGTCAGGGTTGCGTTTTTTTGCCCCCCTAGCCATTTCAACGTCACTTCAAATTTCAACGTAGGTGGTCTTTCAGGAGGGTGGGCATTTTGAGGTTTGGGGCCTAGCAAGGGGCGGGACAACGTAGGACCGCTATTGGCGCGGTCGTTAGGCGGCAGGCAGGTGGCAATGGGCAAAATGACCCTTGGACCTTGAAAACGGCCTGTTGAGTGCATCGGTCCCGCAAGGGCGTGACCCTCCCGGCCGCATCAGGCAGGAGTTGGTCTACCTCATCGCGATACACATGGAGCTTCCGCAAGCCGCTCCGGCATAGTGCATCAGCCATACCTCTCGTGAGCCCCTATGACACGATAGGGCCAACGCTAGGTACAACTGTACCTCCAGCTGCGGGACTTGTCACCTCCCTTCGGTGGGCGTATTCCTGTCAAGCTACCAGTCCACGGTACAGAAGCTAATCAGTTGCAATTGCAGAGGTGGACCAGTCGAGGCGTTTCTCGTTCGCTTTAGCATAGTGGGTATGCGTGGTCTTACGCCTCTATCGAACCCGCACGCGAACCGACGCACTGGGGGGCTGAAGTCCCAAGCACGACTCGTCGTCGGTCGACGAGGACGCATCCCACATACCACGCGTTACACTCCAACACTCACACACACCGAACGACATAAAACAAACAACACAAAAACACTCCTAATTCTTTTTTTAGTCATCCCATAACCTTCCGACGTGGAAAATCAGATAGGCAACGCTCGCGAAACTTAGTATAAAACCACGCAGACGCAGAGTTTTCCTATATCGACTAGCAATGCATGAATATGCAAGCAGTCGCAATGATGGCGAGCTATATAGTGTCCATAATCAAGCGGTTCCTCGTAGATCTTAGTACCACTTATGACACTCAAGTGTCAATCTTGCACGGCTGAAGGAACAACCGTTTGGCCCCCGCAACACCTTCGACCCTTAGGCTGAGTGTCCCGTTGGGCAGGGCAAATAGGCTTTGCGCGGGGGGTGATCCCTTCCGCGTGGAGTCTGAGACATGGGATGTCCTGGATAAGGACCTTGAATTCAGGCCCAAGACCAACGTTCGACTATTTTTTTTTTAAGAAACAAAATGAGTAAGCGAAGGGAGTCTTTTTTCCTCTATTGATCTCAGCTCCAATTAAAACCTTAAGCGTAGGCTCTTTAGGTCACGTGAACACTCAAACATAGGTATGTACGTATATATATAGAGGGGAATAAATATGTGACGATCACTTCGCACAATCACAGTAGGACTCCTCTCAGCCATATATATGTATGTGATCACAGACATTCAATTCCAAAGTCCGAACCACAAAACAACACATTCAATCACATCAAAGAATCAACCAAAAGTCAACACACTACACGGGTTAACTTCAACCATTCTCTATACTCATACCCCTTACTTTAGTCATGCAAACCCTAACATTTGTTCAAGCTTTCAAAATAAATACTCAGTACCTTCGTTAAATGGTCATTCAATAAAAGTTCGAGTAAAAACCTTAATAAAACAATAGGAATCATCAGGGTTAAAACCTTTTAGGTTGGGTAACGATAATGGATTGGAGTTGAGTCGTAGACCGACGAATCAGCAACCGACCTGTTATCAGTAATAACAGAAGATGATCCTTGTTGGATGATGCTGAACTAGTCCAAATCTTGAGTCAGAACGACCAAAAAAACCTATATGATAAAACAGGGCAACGCCCAAGCTAAATCATCAGTGTATGGGGAATGAATCTCTATAACGCATTCTTACTCAAAGTTGTCTGCCAACTAAGTCTAAACCTACCCCTAAATCAGTGTCCAAAGAAAAAGGGTAAACTTTTGACAGAGTCTCCCCTATTCAGGCTGGGTTGTAAAAATCTTCACTTGTCAAAATATAATCTAACTCTTCTAGACGAATAAAATTTTGGCAGCACTTCCCGTATGAAAAGTTTATTTTCAAAATTTATACTAACTTAAATACGAGAACTGAAATAAGATCTAATTTTGAAAAGTCAAATTTTGTTTAACTCCCTAAATTAGTAAAAATTTGGCAGAATTTTCTTTATAAAGGTAGAATTATCATATTTATACTAAGTCATGTATGAACTCAATCATAAGACTTGAGTTGAATCATGACAAAATTTAACTCACTCCTTAGATTTGTTTGAAATTTTGGCAGCGCTTTCCGTAGAGAAAGTGACTTACCAAGATTTATACAAGGCTAAGTTCAGAGTCTAGAAATGACATAAATTTTTCAAAGTCCAATTTTGTCTAACTCATTGAATTAACAAAACTTTGGGTAGCACTTCCTTTGAAAATTGGACTTTCCAAATTTTTACTAAGTCATATATAAAAGTTAGATAAGTTGAACTTTAAAAAGTCGAGATTTGACTAACTCCTTGGTTTTGCATAAATTTCGGCAGCGTTTTCCGTAAAGAAAGTGGCTTACCAAGATTAATACAAAACCAAATATAAAAACAAATTTCATAAAATGCAAAAATTGACCTAAGTAAAATAAACCTAGCTCAGAAAATGCACGAATTGAAACTAACTCCTATAACTCTCGCACGTGGCGAGCAACTAAAGCAACTATCTATCAGACTGAAACTCAGACTAAGTAGTGATCTTACTCAGTCACATGCAACACCAAACCACATTGGTAAGTAATTTCTTCATTCCCCAAGTTAAATTCTCATAGATTAGCTAATGGAACCCTCATATGATTTATCCCTTATACCCAACTTAGAAACAATGTCTAGCATGCCTTGAGATATACACGAACATGTTGCA